CAATTTTTACCTATATACTGTCCTTTATATTTATAAATTTCATTCATTTAGAAATGATATCTACTTCTAATTTCTTTTTTTTAAAATTCTGATTTATATTTTATGATATTTTAAGAATCCGAAAAAAATTTCTTTTCTAATATGTCACTTCTTTTCTAATATTCTCTTATATTCTCCTATTATAAATTTTTTAATTCAAAAATTTTGATTTTATGTCAGAAAATGAATAAAATAATATAATCCGAAAAGTAATGATAATGATATAATTTCTAATAAAAATTTTTTATGAAATATAATATATTTAAAATTAGTTATATATACATAATCGAATTTAGAAACGAATTTTCAAATTCTTAATGGATATTATATATAAATTTTAATTATTCTTAAAAAATTTTAATTATTCTAAAAAAAAATAAAATAAAAAATATTTTCGAAAGCAGTGAAATATTGTAAAGATAAAACGATAATTATTGATATATATGATTTTTGGACAATGATAAATTCTATTCGCATAAACGAAAAAACAAAACCAAAGAAATGCACATTTTTTAAATATATTTTACAAAACATTCTATTCGTACAGCATATAAAACAATACTCTGTATTTATTTTATATTCACACATTAGCTCTATACGACTGTACCACCATATTTTTTCGTTATATATAGAATATAACTTTATACAATATTCGGCGTAATTTTCAAAAATCAGTACTATGAAAGTGCGGTATCCTTTCGACGTATAGTTTCATGCTTTCCGCCTGTTGAAAATGCTGGTGCAGTCCTATCAAATTTCTCCGAATTAATCGCACGTTCTCGATCGATTGTCAATTCCGTTGCATCTGAGTTCATGTTTTTACTAAAAAAATTTCCAGAGGAATATTCTTGTTGGTTATTCAAATTAGCAGTTAATTTATCATGATCGATGTGCGTATTTTTTATTTCCGGCTTCATTTCAGTCAGTGTAACTCTTGCAGATTTTGATGAACTTTTCAGATGCACCATATGATTCGTTGAGTCTATATTACTTCTTTTATGACCAATATGATTATGATGATTTGAAAAAACAGAATCCGTTTTGCCTAAAAACTGGCTATTTTCCATACTATTGAGACCATTTGTGCCACTAGTACTTCCAATACCATTACTATTGGAAATATCTCCCATGTTAAAGTTTCTTTCTTTGGGACCACTTTGCCAAAAAGAATCATCAAACACTTCTGTATCACGTTGTTCCGGAGATAATCTACTGATACGAGCCTTAACAATAGCCAGATGTCTATGTACATAATCCTGATGAGGTGCTAGAGCTGCTGCACGTTCCAAACATTGAGCAGCTAAACCCAATTTACCACGTTCAACCATTACAACACATAAATTGTGAAGACCTTGAATATTTGTTGGATCCAACTGCAGAATTCTACGGTAACACTGTAATCATTTAAAAATTTTTATATTAGTGGTGAAATATTTAAAAATATTTATTATTTGTAATGATAAACTTACATTTTCAGCAGCATCCAAATCTTTTATATTATTTATGTAAATATCACCTAAAAGGATTAATCCTTTAACGTGATCCGGATGAAATCTAACCAGTTGATTTAAAAATGGAGCAGCTTCAAGAGGACGTTGTTCATCTGCTAATAAAAGAGCCAAATTAAATAAAGCAGAACGAAAATCTTCTTTGAGTGCAACAGCATTGCGAAACCATCTTTCTGCACTTCCGCTATCATGGTCATCCATAGCTAGCATTCCAAGATTAAAATGAACTCTTTCATTGTTGGAATCCTAAAAATAATCATCATTTCCATTATTAAAATAATAGAAAGGAATATTTTGAAATATTATTTTGACATTATATATGAAAAAATATAAAGGAAAATACTTTTCGTAAGAGTTTTAGAAGTCTTTCTCTAGCTACTTTTCGTAGTTCGGCGCGTCCTAATTCTTGAAGTAAAATGGCTGAATTTAGTAATGCTTGTTCATGTTCTGGATCAAATTCAAGAGCTTTGTCAAGATATGCTAGAGCTTGAGATGCTTTCCCTTGTTCAAGAAATACGACTCCAAGCTTTAAAAATAAAATTAACATAATATATAATCTTTTAATAAACATTATTAATATTTAATAATTTTATTTTTTATATTTACGTTATAATAAATGTCTGGATTGTTACTATCGTAGAAAAGAGCTCGTTCATAAACTTCCTGGGCTTCTTTGGTACGATTAAGTTTAATTAAAACATCGCCTCGATTAATATACGCTTGCGTATAATCTGCGCGCATACTAATGGCTTGTCTATAAAGCAGATCAGCTTCTTCTAACCTAGTTGCATTCTTCGCTATTAGGTTTGCTAAATTTACAAAAACATTCAAGTGATTTGGAGCTATTCGCGCTTGATAAGACTCTCCAGGTTTTGCTTTTGGTAATAAAGATTTTGCCTAAAACAGTTTTGAGGTTGAATTTTATAAATATTATTATTAAATAATTATATTATTTAATAATTAATTATATTATTTATATTATTAAATAATTTTATAATTATGTTATTTTAATTATGCATTTACTTTTAAGTATGCATCTTCAGCTTCTTTGAACATCTTCAGATGATTATAAGTTCTACCCACATTAATATGTGCACCAATATCATCACCTTGAACTTGCACAGCCATATTGAAGAAATTCAATGCTTCTTTGAATTTTCCTTGACTTTCCAAAGCATGCCCAACATTGTTAAATAATTTGGCATTGCGATCATTTACTTTTAATCCTGACATAAATATGGAATATTCATCTAACCAATCATAATTTCTCATAAAGGTTTTTGTTGTATGTGCAGCCAAAAGAGTTATTAATAAAAATAGTGTTAATTTCTTAAATCTATAAATATGAAAAGTTTAAATTAAGAATATAGTCCAAAAAAATTTTGAATATTTATAAAAAAAATTTGAATATTTATAATTTACTTTTTATCGCATAAAATGCTCCATCCATATCCAATAAGCATACAAAATCCCATAGATGGAGCATACAATACTCTTTCAGCAATGACAAATCCCACTGGGAAGAAAAGATTTGAGGCAGGTAAAAATGGAAGTACCATCATAGCCAAACTCTATATAAAAAATTCCATAATCAATTTTTTAAAATTATATCTTAATTTAAGAAAAAAATACAAAATTAATTTAATACTAACCATTATAAGAATAATGGAAGTTTGTCTATTAGGTGTTAAAATTGCTGTTATCAGTAATCCTAGTATAGTTGTATGAGTTGTTATAGTAGCAAGATTGCGAGGATCCGAAAAACTTTCTATCAACGGTATCGTTCCCATAGTCCAATCACAGCATAAATCGCTTGGAAGAAATAGTAATCTTAAATTAACTGCTGCGAGGTAATTATAGGTAAGCTGTCTTATTGGCGTTGGAGCCACTGACGCGGGATTGTCAAATCTAAAATATTAAAAAGAATTATTAATTTTTATTATAGGAACTTTATATTTACAAAAAAAACAAGATTCTTTAATTTCAATTTTTAATTAAACGCATATAACACTTATAATTATTTACCTGGTAAATACAGGTAACTTTGAGCCCATTACATGTAGTCGAAGGATAAGCAAACTAAATGTAACAAGCGTAAGGACCGTCAATCGTTTTGTACCTTCACTGGACCAAGTAAGTGATATTTTTTTCCCACCAAAAGCTGCCTTTAATGTTAGGAAAATATCCACTGCTCTTATCTAAACGAATAATAAAATATATAAATAATTATAAAAATATATAATTAATAATATAAAAAATATAATTAAAAAAAATAATTTAAAAAAAAATTTTTTAAATTATAATATTTATATATTAATTTACCTTTTGTACAACAAAAATTTCATAAAATACACAAACTGCAGTAGCTGTTATTCCTTGTTCTTTACATAACATGGCAGTGAAAACAAAAAACATAGATAATATCAAAGATTTCCATCCTAAAAATAAATGTAATATCTATTTTAATAAATAATATTAATAATTTTTAATAATAAATGTTAAAAAAATAAAAAGAATTAAATACCTGTAGTTCTTCTACTTCTACAGCATTTAGTATATGTGATTAAAGCCGCTAAGTAAAATAAGGAGGACAATGTTTCTGCTCTTCCGACCACTCCTGTAACCTTAATACACGATTATCCACTGACAATGCATCTAAACACGAACTAGGAACTACGACGCGATCGATCGCTCGACGTCGACCATTTGAATCTGGATACATTGATACATTGTCGCCGAAGAGGAGAACAAGGACTAGAAATAATTATCAAATAATATTCTCGTGTAATTTCAAGGTAACGTCGATCGATTCGATCGATATGGAAAGCAGTCTAAACAACTTACTGCTTCTGTATGTATAGGATGAACCGCAAACAGAAGAGAAGATACAAAAGTTGCAGAATCAGATAGAAACATCAAACAAGTCCTGCAATATCAATTACATACTTTATTCTTATTTTGAACTATTTTATTTTATAAAAACAATTTCAATGATATTTTTAAATATTATATATATTATGAATATAATATTTATATAAAATATAAATATTTCTAAATTCTAAATATTTATTTAATATTATATATTATGTTTATTTATTTAATGTTTGAATAATTTTTTTTCTCTTACATATATAGTTACTTAATATATTTTATATTGTATATTATATTAAAACATAATATATAGTTAAAAAAAAAGAAAAAACACACCTGAAATATAATAAGCATACTCCAATATGTAGAATAACATTAAGTAGGTGATATCCCATAGGATCCAATTGATGAATTAAGTAATTCCATCGAAATGTGAGAACACACAAAGGCCTATATGATTTGTGCGATTGCTCCTATTTAAAAATAAATACAATTGTTTTAATACTCACAAAATTAAATTAAAAATTCACAATATTATAAATAATATATCATATATCATATATCAATTATATTTAATATTATAAATAATAAGGTATTTTAGTATAGTTTGAAATATACATTTTATACATTCTTTTTCAAAAAAATAAATAAAAATTTATTAAAAATTTCATAAATTAATTAATTTCTTTTATAAATTATTTATAAAATATAATAATA